CCAATGCTACCTGGAATTTACTGTCTGTTTCTTTTCGTTTTTTCGTTTTTCCTTAATAAGAGAGGCCACAACAGACTTCACCTATCGCATCCCAACCCCTTAAATGCTACGTCATTTCTCGGCTCGGAACCGCTATCGTAGCGTGATTACATTACTTGTGAAGCTGGTTTGGAGTGGTTCGTTTGATGACATGATAAGAGTCTCGGCGGGATGGGGGGTTATGCTGCATTTAATAGTTGTGACAGAATTAGCAGATAAGTGCTAAGGCACACAATAGTTAGGGTGTTCATTCTTTTAGAAAGTACTTCCTGTGTATGAAAATCACTTCGGCCACGGGCTAGTTTTCTCATTTCGGTGTCCAATATCGTAGTACTATTGGCTACAAGAGCGTCTCTTTTGTACCAGTGATTAATAATATGGAGAGAAACCTCCATAAGTTTCTTTTAGTTCAGTTCAGTTCAGCTTACGAATAGAAGAGGGGTATACCGTAGGCCAAATCATGGTCAGCGTTGATGCACTCACATAGGAAACAGTTTTCAGCTCTCATGTGTCCATTGCAGCGTGAAAACAAGCATTTTGGTTGTAATGTTTCGTCAGCACTGTAAAGACCATCATTGGTACGTGTACGTTTCTCTATCAATTACACATATTAGTAGGTAAAAGTGACGTTGGAAACGGTAAAAATGGTTTCATTATAGGAGTAATGACAACATTTGAGTTTTTGTATTTCACAACAGGATACTTCTGACTGCGTAGGAGGTGGGTTTTTTCTGCAATCCCTAATTTTTGCTTTAACATATCTGTAGACTTTGAGTCGTACTGTGAGTTATACTAACTGACGGGATTAATAGCTCATGGAAGTGGCACACTTATGGATGAGATAACCGATTGATTTGATTGCTCAATGCCATTAGGTCTAATTGCATACGAAATGCCCGGAAACAAATAAATGCTCGTGTTGACGGACCGATTGCGTCTCTCATTACAATCCATGATCAGTGCCATGTGACATGCCCACTAAATAACAATGTACGTGGTTCATACTGGTCACCGGGGATGCGCATTTTAGCTGGAAAATTTATATGCGCCGTGTTTATCGAGTAGCATGAAGCATCCTGTCCACCCATAACCACTCAGTCTGCACGGTCTCAAAGAGCTCGCCTGATCAAGAACATATCGTTGCTTCGAGTTCATAGTCCGAAATTTTTCGGACCAAGAGCAATATGGAAGCTGCATTGATGCACTAAATGCTTGTTTCAGTCATACATCTTTATAAGAATGTACATAATAGGATACCGCTGCTGGTTTGACGATGTTGCAGTTTCCTAAGTAACGTATGTTTTCATAACCTCGTTTCTGGTTGGAAAGTCCGAGTTATCGCATTATCAACGCCGAAGTGATTCGTTGAGACAAGTTGATTGTTTCCGTGTTTCCAACGAAGCACTGGGTGAATATTTTCTTGTCCAAGTACCCATCTTTTGGAAAAATCTGCAGCATTCTCATTCTTGTTGGTTTGTCAACTGCATTCCATCACAATTGAGCGCGACTTGTGAATAATCGGTCTTTGCGTTAAAATGTCTAAATTTATTCATGATGTACAGGCCTACAACCGTACGCACACAACAAGTGGAAGCACGAGGCTACTTGCTTTAAGCCGAGTCGTTCGTGTTCACTGTCGTCAAACCCAAAATTTCTTTCAGAATTCACTGCTGACCTGGGATTTTTGACGTACATAAATTGATCAGCAAATTCACGGATAAACGATGCGCCTAAGGTAGATGTTCCGCAGGCGTAAAATACGGTAGTCACGACCAAAGGATAGCACTCACAAATAGGAGCAGTTTGCCACTACTTTAGACTGCGCCCAGAATTATTATCCTCCGTATTTCAACTGAGGTCACGTCTGTTGTTTTTCAGGTGAAAGCCTTTATGTAAAAAAAGACAGAATTATAGCGCTCTTGTGTCAATTCCTGATCACCCACGGCACAATCAAACTATTTCATTCCAGACATGCTGGCTTTTAGAATCAGCCTTGCAAAATTCTCCGCGGCATTTGTTATTGATGAACAGAAATTTCTGTCGCTGACCTAAAAAATAATCAATTTTTTATCCACCTGCGAAAAACTCGTTCTCGTTAGCCTGCTGTTTATACAACACTCCACTATACACCATATGGAGATTTGTTACCACCGTGCTTTAATGTTAGCTCTTCTAGTGGCAATAACTTTTTTGAAGTCTCTAATGGTTGGAGCGCGCTGACCTCATCGACAGCACCAAATCAGTGAGCAGCAGTGATGCTTTACTGCCGATCATTTGAAAGCTTTCCTGCGAAGAAAACTATCAGGAAGGTCAGATTCCTGAATGTAACCTCAGAACGCCCGGAACCTACTGCTCCACCAAAAGCTCAACTGGAAAGCCGGCAAGCATCCAGGCCAGTCAATCATTCAAGCAATTCAGTAAACCTGATGAGTGTTCTCTGCGCCATAGAAGCACGACCGAATGTGATCAGCGTTCAGGCTTTTTCACAGAGGCACGATCGATGTTCACTAACGCCTATCAGACAGCCTGGATCCATGTCAGAAAGTCCCCTTTAAATAGCGTGGGGCCGTTGTAACTTTTGCTCTCTCACTCACTCGCTTGTTCGGAATATAGCTGTTGTGTTCCCTTCTGTGAGTCTTTTCTCTCCGACACTAGGCACTGGAGAGGGTCAGCAGCAGATACTACGGGCCGACGAAACAGAAGATATAACAAAAACTTAAAAATGGATGAGACAGGGGCCCGAAATCTACCACAATAATTCTACACCTTCATATAATCATTCGAGCACTCTTGATAGAAAGTGACTTTAAGAATGCCATTGAAGTATTACAGCATCTTGAACCATGCGCAGAGAGGATCACGCGGAACCCATATTGGTAGTTAAGTACCCTTAGCACTACCCCGACTTTTCGCAATGACATTTATAACTCTCTGCCAATTTAAATTTTGGCCACCTCTCTGCTTGCATCATTTCGATTTGGGCACACAAATAGCACTCTTTTTGGTAAACCGTGTTTCGGTCTACGAACGCATGATTAAGCCACCACACCTTTCGGTGCTTGACACATTCGTCACCCAGGTTCTCTGTTACACCACTGAACACTCGTTTATTATTTGTGTAGTTGGGGATTCGTTTACATTGGTTGTGATTCTGAGATAATGGGCGTGATCTCTTTGAGTGCTCGCAGAGATCAATTCTCACAACTATTCAGCTAAACTTGCCTACTACAGTCTGGGATTCAAGGATGTAATAGGAGTATGATCAAACTGGCGTTTTCACGATGCTTTCTCAACCAGTTCTTTCTGGACGATGACCGCATGGTCGAAGTATTTAGTTCCTAATTGATTGTGATTTTTCGAAAGCATTTGTGCTCCTTGTGCGGAGGTAAGTGTTTGACTAAGCGTATGGTAAGATGGTATCACAATAGGCAGCTAATAGCAGTGGTTGTATCTTTATTTGGATTGAAATTACGCAAATTATCATGGCCTTATCAAGGTCGAATGCGTCCTCACTCGGGAGCCTTCCCAAAACAAGATCACTTAGACCTTTACCTGCATTGCAAGCACCGCTTAATACGTCTTGAATGCGTTTTTCTTTTCAGAATGCTTCTGTAAATCGCGATTATGTTCCCGAGAAATCCGACAAATTAGCCAAGGCTCAAATAATCCAGCCAGAACAGGCACATACCGGAAGAGTGAGTTATATGTTCGATTCATTCCTCTGAAAGTCTGATATTAACTTGTCACAAGATAATTTGTCTTCATTCGAATCGCATTATTTCGTGCGGGAATATACCTGAAAAGTCCAAAATGAGATTTTAGCACAGGATTTTCTTAGTGCAATTCCACCGCTTTGCCCACTCTGTGGGAAACTGACAATCGGTTCTCAAAAGTTCTCTTGATACTTTTCCTATTCTGACAAACTACTTTTTTTCATTACTGCTACCCAACACGCTATACTTGTGTGAAAGGAAATCCTGACGATACTGATTGGGTTAGTTTTATCCACTCATCTGAGTATTTTAAGTAGTTGGCCATTTACTGCTGGACTCAGCAACTGAAATGGTGTCATGATGTGCTTCCTAGGGTTAAACTGTACTCAGTCTAGCTTCCCGAAGCATCATTTTGGACGAGACTCTAACATTTGAAAAGTTTGGTGTTGCATTAACTTCATGGTCGGATGAAGAATGCCTACCGATAAAAGTCTATGAGGTTAAGTATTGTAGTTGGCGCGAATCCTTAGTTCAGAGCCTGATGAAATTTTGTGGGCAATCGTTTCGTTTTGGACTGGTTTGCATTAAATCCCTCATCTTTGGCGAAGTAAATGAAGCACATTTAGATAAAGAAGGTAAGCTGGATTAACATCCAGGTGCGCATTCTTTAAGCTGGCCTTTGCGTGTTCTTTCAGCATGTTCGATATTCCCAATGTTTTAGAACATTGTATTCAACACAGTCCGCAGATGGTCAGTCATGCAGTGTTAAATGAATCTCAATCTAGGTTTCCGGTATCTGTTAATATCGATCCCCATTGCATTTNTCAGGACCTCTCTCTTTGAGTGCTCGCAGAGATCAATTCTCACAACTATTCAGCTAAACTCGCCTACTACAGTCTGGGATTCAAGGATGTAATAGGAGTATGATCAAACTGGCGTTTTCACGATGCTTTCTCAACCAGTTCTTTCTGGACGATGACCGCATGGTCGAAGTATTTAGTTCCTAATTGATTGTGATTTTTCGAAAGCATTTGTGCTCCTTGTGCGGAGGTAAGTGTTTGACTAAGCGTATGGTAAGATGGTTGGTAAATAGGCAGCTAATAGCAGTGGTTGTATCTTTATTTGGATTGAAATTACGCAAATTATCATGGCCTTATCAAGGTCGAATGCGTCCTCACTCGGGAGCCTTCCCAAAACAAGATCACTTAGACCTTTACCTGCATTGCAAGCACCGCTTAATACGTCTTGAATGCGTTTTTCTTTTCAGAATGCTTCTGTAAATCGCGATTATGTTCCCGAGAAATCCGACAAATTAGCCAAGGCTCAAATAATCCAGCCAGAACAGGCACATACCGGAAGAGTGAGTTATATGTTCGATTCATTCCTCTGAAAGTCTGATATTAACTTGTCACAAGATAATTTGTCTTCATTCGAATCGCATTATTTCGTGCGGGAATATACCTGAAAAGTCCAAAATGAGATTTTAGCACAGGATTTTCTTAGTGCAATTCCACCGCTTTGCCCACTCTGTGGGAAACTGACAATCGGTTCTCAAAAGTTCTCTTGATACTTTTCCTATTCCGATAAACTACTTTTTTCATTGCTGCTACCCAACACGCTATACTTGTGTGAAAGGAAATCCTGACGATACTGATTGGGTTGGCTTTATCCACTCATCTGAGTATTTTAAGTAGTTGGCCATTTACTGCTGGACTCAGCAACTGGAATGGTGTCATGATGTGCTTCCTAGGGTTAAACTGTACTCAGTCTAGCTTCCCGAAGCATCATTTTGGACGAGACTCTAACATTTGAAAAGTTTGGTGTTGCATTAACTTCATGGTCGGATGAAGAATGCCTACCGATAAAAGTCTATGAGGTTAAGTATTGTAGTTGGCGCGAATCCTTAGTTCAGAGCCTGATGAAATTTTGCGGGCAATCGTTTCGTTTTGGACTGGTTTGCATTAAATCCCTCATCTTTGGCGAAGTAAATGAAGCACATTTAGATAAAGAAGGTAAGCTGGATTAACATCCAGGTGCGCATTCTTTAAGCTGGCCTTTGCGTGTTCTTTCAGCATGTTCGATATTCCCAATGTTTTAGAACATTGTATTCAACACAGTCCGCAGATGGTCAGTCATGCAGTGTTAAATGAATCTCAATCTAGGTTTCCGGTATCTGTTAATATCGATCCCCATTGCATTTAATGATTTCCTGTACTCTTTGGCTTGGAAAAAAGCAAAGGCGAAGTTAAACTACCTGAGGCTTTAAACGGGGCAGTAATAAAATTTTCATGAATTGATACGACCAATCTTACTCAATACTTGGTCGATCAGTTGAAGCCAGTTACTCAGGAACTGACCACTACAGCACAAAGATCCGCCCTAATCAACTGAATTTTCAAAAATGTTCACTATTATGGACAAAGACGTGTGCTCATCAAATTTCCAGTCCACGTTTACCAATGCCTGCCTGCGTCAAATACTTAGTTTTCCGTGCGACTCATTTATATAGGAGAGTATCCCAAGTGGCGCGCCGGTGTAGGTCCTCAAAAGCTTGTTTCTGCTATCCATCGAGAACGCCAGCTTGAAGATCCAGGATTCACCTACCGACAAGTTGATGGAATAGCTATGAGCGGCCTACTGAACCAACCTCTAGCAACATGTTTTGGCTTTATTGGAGCGACAGTTAGTCAAGCATATTATATATAGTGTATACGTATTATGTATATATGTATATATTACAATTAGTGTATTATAAGCGCTCCGTAGACGGCACACTGGCCATTTCCACCAGTCAGAGACTAGTTCTGAAACCGGTAGGACGTCTCAATAGCCTGTAGCCAAAGCGCAACTTATGAAGAAAGAGCTGCTACATACTCCCTGGTTTTTAGACACTAATCACCTGTAGGTCGACAGATAAGTTAAATATAGCCTTTGCAGAGTACCTAACGAATGAAGTAATTTGTACACTTTGGAGTAAAATTGCAATGTTATTTCGGTGCTACGAACATCAGGTGCTGCATGTTGGATTTTTTCGAAGCTGATTTAGGACTGGTCACAAGTACTCTGAAACGAAATGAATATACTAAAGAATTTATTAGATAAGATATTGGAGTGAGAATAAAACCCAAACGGGGCAGTTTGTCCATAACGGTTGTATTTATAGATATATTTGACAAAGAGGCTTAAATCAACTGCCCACGCAATTGGACCTCTAGTCTCATCCCTGGAAAGAACACAGTGTTGCGGAAGCCTGGGTTTGTAAGGTAACGACTAACGTCAAGTAGTGGGGACAAACCTGTTCGAACCAACCTTCACTGTGCATATCAATTCAGTGTAATTAAGGAGAACGTTCTATAGATAAAGCCGGTGGGTGTCTCAGTGCCGGAACGAAGAAGCATATTCCCTTCATGTTTAGGACCTAACAGCATATCAGAGCTTGGAATTACTGCTTGGTGGTGATTTACCACATTCAGTGGTTAGCAAAGAGCTTTGGATAAAGCCCTATTCATGTCTTACGAGAAAACTTGAAATTTCTGGATTATCGTCAATGTCATCGCTACGCTGTACTTATAGGTTTTCGAGCCTGAAACGATATCAGAGCTTGGAATCACTGCTTGGTGGTGATTTACCACATTCAGTGGTTAGCAAAGAGCTTTGGATAAAGCCCTATTCATGTCTTACGAGAAAACTTGAAATTTCTGGATTATCGTCAAAGTCATCGCTACGCTATACTTATAGGTTTTCGAGCCTGAAACGGATTGATCGATTAGCGTTGAACGGGCAACTGAAAATCTGCGCAACCCACAAAAGGTCTCCGCCATCTAACTGGACGGCCAGTTATCGCGCGACATCCAGTTTGAGGCTTATTTACCCATAGAAGCCTACAAAATCACTTGTTATTCGCGGCACAAAACGTCTCCGTCATCTAACTGTACGGTCAGCTATCGCACGACATCCAGTTTGAAGCTTATTTACCCACAGAAGCCTACAAAATCACTTGTTATTCGCGTTTTTACAGCATGCAACTCAACCGGATAGTCATTTCTCTTCACATCATGTAAAGAGCTTTCCGGTCACTGGACGTAACGTTTGTCACAGCAAATGTTAGTTAAATCGCCTCAGATCCGCTCCGGGTATCCGTCGTGAATGGTTAGGTTAACTAAATTTATGATACATTAGAACTGCAGTCTGTATTTTCCAGTCGTCTGATTTTCTCCCGTTTGTTTGGTTACATTTCTTCGCCATCCGTGATTCTTGCAACACTACTGTGGTAAACCCTATCAGAAACTTATCCATGCTATTTATACTTTCCTGCTTTCCCCCTTCCCTCATCTACTAGGTGAAATGGTCAGTTTTCAAAATATACCTTCGTAATGTGGGTCTGCGATACAGCCTGCTCATCCTGATTTCGTTTCCACTGAATCAACTGGCTTCATTTGGTACCAGTTTGTGGTTGGCTGATTGGTCTGAGGATGCCACAACACAACTGAATTTGACAGAATTCTTGAAAGCCAATCCGGATGCACTGCGGAATACGAGTGCCTATCCAGGCCTAGACCAGCAATTGACTGAATTCTATGCACAGAGGGACTATCGGCTTGGTATATATGGCGCGCTGGGCTTAGCTCAAGGTATGCGGGATCAGCACATGGAATGTTGTTCACCAGTAGCCACTTGCATCAGATAGCTTAACACAATACACAAACACATATCTGGTCCTAAGCCCATTATTCTTTGAACGTCGGATCAACAGCACATATTCACTGCATAAGATTCATACTAACATGATATGTGGGAAACCAACTTAGTTGAGATAGCCAGCACAAAACCCTTCATATTGACCGATCCAGCTTAGCGACCCTCCAAAAATCGTTCATCCTTCCCAAAATATCGACCTATTCAGTGTGCAGAAGAGAACCTTTCATCATAGTTTCTAGGTTTACAGCTAATTTAACGTGTACATAGAAAGCATCGACCATTGTTTAACTGGCTTTCTCGGACCGATCACAAGAGGCCTGTGTATAAAGCAAATTCAAAAATTTTGGCAGAGAGTTTGACGTTTCCGCTGTTAAGTGAGGGGCAAGCAGTTAGTTGGGAACATTTTGCTTCTATCTGAACCAGCATGATATTACTTTACTAGGTCAGAGAAGCTCATATTCCACTTATTGGTATATTGGCCGATCCTTGTTACTATAAACAATGTTCAATATTTTACGACTACTGAGGATATATCTGAATTTCCATTGTCCCACGCAAAAAAGGGCCATACAGTTGGCCTGGGTGTCCAGTATTCTTTATATCCGTTTGCAATTCGAAGATCACCCAGGTGCGCAAGGCGCTCATTGCCTACTGATTGGGCAAATCTCTACGAAAGGATATTCATCGTGATGCGTAGGCCGTTTTTTGCACGGTATTTGTTCCTGGGTTCTTTTGACCGTGGTACGCTAGGTACCGATCATTTTTGCGTCCTTAGAACAGTACACGGCCACTTTGTCGTTGACTGGTACAAAAATGGTGAAACAGAAACGACGTCTGCGCATGTGTGCATCTAACTTTTCGTGTAGACTGGGTTTTCTACTACAATAAGTGTGCACTGTCGAAGGTCATGAATCTGTGTGCCAGTTGGATTGCATGGTACCTTTTTGGATACCTGTGGTACCTTTTAGATAAACAATAAGTTCTTAGTCATTGAATGTGAATTGAATCCTCCATTGAATGTGAATTCCGGTGTAAATTTACTTTTTTGACAATCCAGCTTGTTTTATTCACGTAGCTGCTACAGTCTGGTGAGTTCGCTTTACGAAGTTCGACTTGGTGCAGAGGCATCCGATACAAAACTGGATGCAAGAGCAAAGCTTTGATGCAAGGGCGCCATTGGTTGCGCCTCACAGTCATATTTGTCAGAGGCACTGAACCGTTGGTTTGTCACGTCCCGTGAATCCCATCCGGCGTGATGGCATCCACTAGTAGGACCGGCGTGACTAATAAGGGGTTTCATGCTCCTTTCTGTCAGAGACTCGCCGTCCCTGGGTCGTCTCCGTCCGGTACAATGCTGAGCTTTACGAGGCCATCTGTTATCCGAAGTTCCCACAAGTCGACAAAGAGGAACAGTTTTTTGAAAAATACACTTATTCGCAAATCAATTTGGTTTTCACGAGAGACTCAACCGAATCTCTCGTTTATGATATTCTACAATTGAATGTGCTGCACACAGGCCGCCTCATGATTCAGTTGGCACGATATTCGAGATATCCCAGTATATTTTCACAAAGGAAACTACTCACAAGTTTGCTGAAAACTCTTCGACAGCCCACGACCGGTTTCGCCCTTCTTGGGGCTCATCAGGTAGGCGCAGTCCCCGAGTTTTCGTCAACCTTACGATCTAATTGAACCCAAATTGGACTGTTTTCGAAAAATAGACTCATTGGCAAATCAATTCGGTACAGTGTTGATTTGCCAATGAGTCTATTTTTCGAAAACAGTCAAATTTGGGTTCAAGTAGATCGTAAGGTTGACGAAAACTCGGGGACTGCGCCTACCTGATGAGCCCCAAGAAGGGTGAAACCGGTCGTGGGCTGTCGAAGAGTTTTCAGCAACCTTGTGAGTAGTATCCATTAGGAACAATGTTTGTTCAGTTATAAAATGCTCGACACGAACACGCGAAAGATCACACACAAGGGCTAGTTTTCGCGGTTGTCAAGTTGCTTTTTAGATGCGATCTGATTATTGGAGATGGACCGGAACTCAAACGAAGTTTGGACGACAGTCCATTTATTTAGCTATAGTGTGTTCCCTCTTTACGTTACACCCATTCATCAATGGTTAAAGGCAATGGCGGAAATAATCCAATCAGGAAGTCATCGGCACTCGGGCATCTAGGCTATTACCTTCTATGCGTAGCTACTAAGTTCCTAAACTAACTGGGCATGCCATCGCCTCCAATGCTTGGCTGCATCTCCCACACTCTCCCACTTTCCGGTGATCGAAACTGTTGCTTCTGGAGCCAGTGTCCCCATGGTACATGGTTTATAAGTGATAAATTGAACTGCACGTGTGCCATTGGGGGAAGGAATAGACTATATTTGCGATTTAATTGAGTGCGCTGGTAAAGTTGTTAGTTCTTAGGCCTCAAAACCTAGACAACGACTGTCGCTCTCCACAAAGAACGTTTAATCTAGATTCAGCAATGAAATTTACCAAGAGAAATGTGGCTGGTAATGGGATCTTTACTAGGTCCTATTCGAAAGGTTTTACTTGTGATGGAATAGCAGTACTTTTGTATCGATCAGTGGATGATTCGCTTTCCATCGACGATATGTAGATGACTTATTCATTACATTGAATAATGATGTAATGGCTGATTTAAACTCAATTCTATTGAGCAGGAAATCGATGAACATATGAGCGTTTCGAATATCTGTATGAAAATAAGACAGGTGAAGTGTATCACGTGAATACATCTGAGCAGTTGGTGTACACAGTTCAGGGGTTTTCCTCGTTTGAATTGAAACTAAATTTTCCCAGGAGTACCACTGGAAGGACAAAGAGATGACTGTCTGCAACAGAAACTAGATTTTCTGTATTTTGTACTGTGAAAACGGGAATCTTTGAAAAGATGATAGACAGTTCACTCGGTAGACAAGAAGCGAATCTATGCCAGTCTCCCACAAAATTAAGGAAAATCCCCAGAAGAGTAAAGAGTGGCTTAGGGTCTACATTCATGGCGCCTAAACCTTGTTCGAGTTTCGGTTCACCCCTATCATCAGATCACATTTGAAAGATAAATTGCTGACAGCTACCCCCAGCTTTTGTGTGAACTCTTGCGGGCTCGTGTCGAGCACAGTATGTGAGTCGTACAATGAGGCGTTTATCTGACAGAATACACAAAAAAAGTTTTGTTCCGACTCGTAGTAACTGTCGGTGACAGATGGCCAAACACAGAAATCAGGTCTTGTTCGCTACACTGCATCATCTAATGTATTTTGCCGGAATATTCAGTCGGTTTATCCAGCAGATTAAACTCGCCTGACATCACGATGATCGTTGTGAATCCGGCTTAGGCGCCCTCAAAACCGCCCGAACAATAAATAATAGTCGAGTTGGTGGAGAAATAGTGGAGCGAGAAAGAAAGTAACCGGCAGAATAAAGACACTTTTACTTCGAATGACACCACAGCTTCTTGCATTGAAAGAAAAATTATGAAGAGATTATAATCCGCTAAGCAACCAGATAAAGATAACGCCTACTGCACCGCGGTTTGTCTTTTGCCAAACGACATGTGAGGGTAAAGATCAAGCAGTACCGTTTTTCTCATAACTTTTAACGGGGATGCGGATTAAAACGTTTTGAAATAGGATCCATTGCAATGGTTCTTATAGAGTTAAGTAAAGGAAAACCACTGGAAGGCCCAATTGGGATGTACGACATAATCTCAAACTCGCCGACTTAATATGTAAGTTTATAGGTAGGGATCTTTGGAGCGTGGAGGCTACCAGCCAAAACGATTTGGACAAACTGAACAAATATTCCAAGTAATTCATACATAACCGGGAGGACGAATAAAGCCCTGTGCAATACAACAGATAACCTCTTACGGGCCTTAATACAGTGGCCAGTTTGTGACTTTGACGGTCTTTCACCGTTTCCGCGTTTCTCGCAATTGCAGCCAGTCGTCGGTGAAACCATCAGTTATACTGTGAAACTAAACAATAACAGTGACGAACAATCATCCGTTATCTGCTTGCAGTTACAATGAACGTGTCACTCCTCGGCAAATGCCCTTTTTCAACAGCTCTCGCCAACAGTCACTGTTAGGCATTTTCACTGAATACGGCAGACTAAAGCCTAAACATTCTTCCTAACTATCGAGCTAATGAGCGGTAATTCTAAACTGGGCATCAATTGTTAAAACGGAATGCTGCCTGCGTCTGTTAAACCAAACTAAAATGGTCTGGCTAATGGGCGGTAATTCTAAACTGGGCGTCAATTGTTAAAACCGAATGCTGTCTGCGCCTACTGTTGCGTCTGTTAAACCAAACTAAAATGGTCTAGCTCTAGTCTGCTTGCTGTTCATAGCTGCCACGCCAATCGAAGTAAGCATGGGGACCGAGGTACTGCCACAGTGTTCAGGGCCACGAACCACGAACCTTCCAGGCAGTAAGTACGTGCCTTAACCACTGGGCTAGCCAAACAAAACCAGATGTACCTGCCACCAAAGAACCAAACATGTTGTTGATTCTTCAAAGCCTTACCCGGACTGTTACATCTACGCGTCATATTTCATCTCCTTTAAAATCCATCATCAGCAGAATTCATCGGGATGAAATACGGTTATGCTTCTGATTTATAAATCTTAAGTCAGCGTTGTAACGAAGCATCTGGTGGTTTTGTTCATCCGAGAGATGAGTAAACGCTGAGACAATTAGGTTTACCCCTTTGAGGGAAAAGTCGTCTGAAAACATCCATCTTTGTGTGCAAAATAGCCTCTCACAGTGATCTTATGGTTGCCACCACATATCATGTCACCGTGTCTATTCGCCAATCCATTCTGTGTCTGAGTGAGTGAAGTTGGGGTAACTGACGTCTGCTTTATTTTTTTTGCTGCGAGCGATGAACACCATTTGGAAAGAGGGGTCTGAATGATACTGCCGTTTTTGTCGAATTGTGAGATTCCAACGAAGTGCATTCAGTTTCAAAGCAGCCTTCTTTTAGTTATTTTAGCGAGGAATTTGTAAACAGCAAAGAGAAATGTAAGTGAAGGATTCTTCCGAGTTTTACGATATTCAAAATTAATTAGTCTTTTTATCAACCAGAGTGGTTACTCCTGTCTAATATGGATTTCTGGGGATTTAGTGGATTCTTTTTTTACTTCAGCTTATGCTAAAAACCGCAATGCATGCTTAGACCAGAACCTCACTCACAGCGTTGGCGGCACTCTCTATAATACGTCTGACTCATGTGCAGTGGAAATCTGAGGTTTTCTGACTTCGAGCCACTGTAGCTGTTATCCACTCGCGGCCACTAGTACGTGTGTCCAATCGTTATCCGGTTGACTATCTCTTCTGAACGTCTCAATGACTTGAAGTTACTTTGTCGTACCGTTACAAAATGTGAGTCGTAAAAACGTACGAAGAATGCATACCGACAACCACAATCCTGCATGGGTTCGTAATGTTGGTTCTTAGTCCCGGAGAAGCATTTTCACGTGCAGCGTACAAGCCGTAGTTCCAAAGATTAGCGCATATCGTTTTCTTAATGAGTGCGCTGGGCCAACCATACTCAGGAGTACTGTCTGGGTAAGTGAAGTCCGTTAGCTTATCACATTAGCGATATTTAAGCTGGAGACATTCGTCGTGTTCTTGGACAAAATGAATCCACCCTTCCAGTCGTTACGAAGTCGCAGTACATATATCTATTCTTAACCGATCGGAATGCGTCGTGGACAAAACCTTTTATCTTCACTCGTCTAAAAGACAGACCAGATAAACGCACACAAATCAATTTGCATAATTTGGTATTTGGTCTCTTTTTCAAATAAGCTTGTTCTGACACACTGTTTCTACCCGAAATTTCCTGTTTGCGTTATCTTTCATGACAAGCCGTACTGAAATTCGTGGCTCACGTAACTGGTCATATGGCGGCGATTCGTGCCAGCTATCGTCTTCACACTGACTGTTTCACCTCACTCTTGCATGGTCGTGGCTTATGTCTCGGTTATACCAAACAACCGAGCATATTACTTGCACATGCGAAACTGTCAAGTCGTGCCATACAGCCCAAACTTCCGCAGAAAAGTTCCTCCGAGGCCGAGGCACTCACTCGACTGTCGAGCGACATAGATGGTTTGGATAACGTTCTGCCGTTCACACTCACGGGATTATGTAATGTGTTGATGGAAATGGGCTTCACTCTTGGATTTCAAGTTTACATACTACTAGTCTGCGGCAATGATTTCGTCATTGCTTTTGGACTCATTCTCCTGTGGGTGCTCACTACCGTGATCGTGATTATCCAGGCAGGTGGTCCTGTTCTCTCGCGATTCCACAGTGTTCTGTCGATCATTTATGGGCCGTTGCGCTAATGTTCGCATCGATTTTCTCGTGCAATTTGAAGCAGAATTTAATCCATTGTCCGATCAACTAGTTTTCCTAAGCTTACTGGTGTGGTTGGTGTGAGTTCGCATGCCCACAGCACTGCGGTAATTTCGCATTTCTTTTCTATGAATTCGTAACCCTTACCCGGTTCTTTCTTGCTCTGGGCAATCTTATTTTTCAATCGGCCGTTCTTGGCATTCCTTTTAGTGGTCGCCTCCTGGGTGTCTGTTGTTGCATTCGCTTGTGGACATTTGGCCTGCGCACAAAAGTTGCATGACCTTCTGCTTGCTGGAGTACTTCATGCTCCAGGTGGTTTTTTCGACTCGGTTCCACAGGTAAGCTTAAAGGGAATTACATGTCTTTTTGGTGCCCTGTCGCTAATGCCTGCCATACTTCTACTCCATTCCTTTTCTTTGTCATTTGATAAATTTTACCTACACAAGCCCTCATTCGGACTCCCACTCACGCTGTAATTTGCGGACCATGCCGGTCTTTATTCATGAGGTTTACAGCTGCCATGCACGATGCAGTCAGCTGGAATATCGATCGAAATTTGTCATTTGTAGTATTTTTCATCTTGTTGGCTAATTACCTGTCTGGCATGGAAAGAAAAGAAAGAGACTCAGAACTAGGTCGAAGAAGCCAGAAAATCTGCTCAGGTAAGTAGCCATTCAAGACTAAGCCTTCTAGACAGTCTCCATAAACAGTCTCCGTAAACAATTCTTCCTCTGTAAAGCTCAACTGATGTTTAAGTTTGTCGACGCTGATTTGGCTGGTAGACCGATCCCCTTACCGGTACCTGTGAACTAGAGGTTAGCAATGTTCCACCCCTGTTTTATCAGATATGGGGTTCTTTTTCTGAAGAACTTGCCACAAGAAATGGACAGTACAGCTTGATTAGATCACAACTGGCTGTGGGCATAAGGCAGTGTGACGCGTATTCCCACAGTTTTTCAGAATTGCGTCAGATACTAGACAACCATCCATATGACACATATATGTTGTTTTATTTTCGAAGATCATTCCTTTGTTACTTAGTCTAATTCATGAAATCAGACTTGGTGGATCTTTGTTCAGAAGAAGTATATCACTTAGAGGGGTTAGTTCTTTCATACTAGTGTCCTTTGGAACGAACTTCAGGAAATTTATGAGCCCAGCCGATGGACTGACACAGTCAGTTAACCAAACGTTTGAATTTTCACTCCTTTGCACATCTCGTCAAAATTATACGATTGCCCCATGCATACCAATGAGTAGCTAATCTACGCGAACCGAAGCCACCGTCCTAATACCGAAGGTGACCAATTTTGCTGTACTCAGACACCCAAATACTCCACCAACCTTATGGTCAACTAGGTAACTTCTAGAATTTTCACTGATACATTTAGTCCAATGCCCAGATAATCGTATGCTGGGTTGGGTACGCCTAAACACTTTCCGAAAACCATATTGTTTTTGTAAACCTTTCTGCCCTCCTGAAGAGACTGAACCTTACTGTGGTATGACGTTTTGTATACTTCGGCGACCCTTTGAGCTATACTGGGGGGTGTCCGCGCGACACTCGCAAAGTCTCTCAAACCGGGTTGGTCACCTCTTAGAAGTCTGACGAACACAGTCCCCTGCTCCTACAGATTGGGGGTTGGAATATGTGTTGCGACATCTTCCGTAAAGATGGTTATGTTCTTGCATTTCCAGCTAGATACCGCCGCCTTGTGGTTAGGCTTTTGAGACAAAGGCTTTGATTGAGCACTCTTGTCGTTTTCCTGTCCACGCGTGGCCCCCTGACACTATCCAAGCCCACGTACAACCACGGCTGTCAAGTGGGGGGATTGAGAAGGGAGCTGTGTGTGC